GCAAATGGAAAGGCCACCTCATGTTCCTCTACCTGGGCATGGTTTCTTCAACTTTGAGGATGATGAGGATGATGATGATTATGGAGACTACGATGATGAGGATGACTTTTATTTGGGTAACTCTTTTTTCCCTATCTTCTGATTGGAACAATAGCATTCACCATAATTGCTACCCCTACAAATACATACTTAGCTTGAGTCTTAATATCACTGGACACATTTCTTGATACAACGAATTTTAACACATTCTACATACACATACATCCTCTTCTCCAGGTTCATACCAATGAAAGAGTTTTAATTATTGATGTCATTCAAACAAGAGCGACTCGCTTGCCGAAGTATATTAAGTGAGATAATTCTGTAGATGATGATCAAACTACCAGCTCTCCTTCTATACTCGCAGCGTCGAGCCCAAGTCGAGGAAGAATAGCTTCATATCGGTCACGGTCGAGTTTCCTCAAATATTTAAGTATCTTGGCCCGCTTGTGCACAAGCTGACGAAGGCCCCTGCGATTATCTATGTCCTTGCGGAAAGTCAAAAGGTGCTTCCATAGCCCACGTATTTGGATTGTCAGCAAGGCGGCTACATCCAGAAGGCTTCAGCATAAGTCAGCGGTGAAAAAATTCTGTGGTAAGCACCTTGCACTTCAGGGCGGCCAGTATCAAATGGATTTCCCGGCGGCGAAAATAAGCTAATGCAACGGCGGCGGTTCTCGAATGCGAGACCCTTCGCATTTGCGTTACGCAAATCAATAACCTTTGCGAACATGTTCGCTTTGACCTTTTCGTTTTCCATCGCTTCTTGCATTTCGCTAATCACGTTCTCGCTGAACTTGGTCACGCCCTCCTGAGCTGACAACGAAGGTAACACTTTGAAAAGCAGCTCCTTGGATCTCTCATTAATGCCAAAGCTTAGATGCGGCGGAAGCTCGATGTCGCCTTCGGGACTGTGAATGATCTCAGGGACAGAATCCGAGTATAGCGCGTCCTGCGTGATGACGGCCTTTGCAAGGGCACTATTCTGCCATTTGTGATCTTGCCCTGGACGGTGACCGAGAACAGCATATTCGCGTTGTGCATCGAATGCGAGCTTGTGATTTATGCGTGCCTGCACCTTGGAGACCTTCTCATAGTCGAGCTTGTTTGCTTCGACAAGCGGGCATTGAGAACTGCTGAAGTATGGAGTGATGAACGGCTGGACGACGCGACAGGATTGTGATACTACACTCTGTCAGAATAGTCAGAACATCATGGAACTGAACACACCGTTAATTAGGCAGGATTTCAACATAGCAAACCCAACGCGCCTCGTCCAGAAACTTGAGTTGGCAAGAAAGACTAATAAGCCGTGGGAATTTTTGTGTACATTTCTCGAGGTTTCGAAGATCAAGCTCAAGTCTTCGAGCGTCACGGCCGTATAGCACAGTGCACGATGGCGCCCATAAAAAAGACCAAGGCTTCACCCAAGGTCCGCTCTTCTGGATCCAAGGAACCATCACTCAAAAAAGTAAAAGGCGAGAACTTTTACCGCAATGCGAAACAAGTCTCCCGTCTCAAGATGTTGTCTGGGGGGAAGGCCATCCGGGACAAGGATGGCAAGATAATCCAGGCTGCTGCTTTTCAGAAGGGAGAAGATGAGACAAAACCTGGCCGAGTCCAGCCCGATCGTAGATGGTTTGGTGAGTTGCATCGGGATATGCTGTAGGCCCATTACTTATGAAAAATAATAGGCAATACGCGAGTGATCTCACAGACAGCTCTTGATCATTTCAGAACGAGTCTTTCGACGAAGAAAGATGACCCATACTCGGTGCTACTTCGCCGGAATAAATTACCTATGGCACTCTTGGATGATGCGTCTAATCCTAACACTCGAAAGGTAGGTTCTGGCAAATTTTATATTGTTTATGGGCTGATATTATACAGCGATCCCACATCGTAGAAACGGAACCTTTCAGTGAAACCTTTGGACCTAAAGCTCAGCGCAAGAAGGCCAGGATTGACGTGGGCACTTTTGAGGAACTAAGTAAATTAGGCGCAGCCGCGGCGGAAGACGCAGAACAAGCGGCCAATGCTCTAGAATTAGGTGCTTCATCACATGCCAATTCTCCCCAATCAATCACGTTCTGACGTTGCGGTAGCGCAATCTTACGAAGTCCCCGAACTGCAAACTCACGCAGACTATATTGAACCCATTTTCGCCAAAGGAACGTCAAGACGCATCTATGGGGAGCTGTACAAGGTCATCGACTCTTCAGACGTTATCCTGCATATCCTTGATGCTCGAGACCCCCTTGGCACCATGTGCGAATCCGTACTCGAGTATATGAAAAAAGAGAAAGCGCACAAACAAGTTGTTCTTGTCATCAACAAGTGTGACTTAGTTCCCAATTGGGTTACCGTAAGCTTCTAGTTATTTTATGTACATCCCCCTACTGAATGTGCTGCAGGCAAGGTATATTCAACATCTAACACCCCGATACCCTACAATTGCCTTTCACGCATCACCGAATCACTCATTCGGCAAGGGCTCTTTGATTCAACTCCTTCGCCAATTCTCCCAGCTTCATTCAGATAAGAAGCAAATTTCCGTTGGATTTGTTGGATACCCAAACGTGGGCAAGAGCAGCGTTATCAATACATTGAAGAGTGGTAAGGTCTGCCGCGTTGCCCCCGTGCCAGGAGAAACCAAGGTACGCGTCAAGAATGACTGTTAAACTGCCTAACTCAACATGTTTCACTTTATGAGCTTAGGTTTGGCAGTATATCACATTAACCCGGCGGATATATCTCATCGACTGTCCCGGGGTAGTCCCCACGTCCGCACATGATTCCCAGACATCCACTGTGCTCAAAGGTGTTCTACGTGTGGAGGCCCTTCCCGTACCATCTGAGCACATCCCCGCTCTCATGTCACGCGTCAAGCCTTTGTACCTCTCACGAACGTATGGTGTCGCCCTTCCAGACCCCGACGACCCCTCTCGCTCGTGGGATCCGGAACAGTTCTTGGACACTCTTGCGCGGATGAAGGGCCGACTACTAAAAGGCGGCGAGCCAGATGTAGATGGTGTTGCTAAAATCATACTGAGCGACTGGGTGAGAGGCCGAATACCATTCTTCGTGCCTCCACCTGAGCGGTCGGAGGATCTCAACAAAACTGAAGCCAAAGTGAAGGCGAGAAGTAAGGGCAAAGCGAAGGCTGTTGACGGCGGGACCGAGGTTCTGGCGGTCAAGCAGAACTTGAAAACCATTACACAGAAAAATACGTTCCTTGCTGAGGACGTGCAACCGTTGGACGAAGATGACAGCGAGGATGATGAGATTTCCAGCACCCCAGGAGATCATGCATTAGACTCGGACGAAGAGGATGAAGGTAGCGAAATCGGTAGCGACGAAAACAACGAAGACGAGGTCGAAGAATTATCTTGGAACGATGTCTTTAACGATGGGAAGGAGCCGGCCAGCGAAGCTGTTGAAAACGATTTGTCTTCGGCCGAGCAAGGTATGGTGTCATTTTGTCGCAATATCCGTAGGCTAATCACGTCTACAGGCGACGCATCCGATATAGCGGCCACTGCCCCAACAAAGAACCCACGCATGAAGACGAACAAGGTATGACCATTTCTCATTGCTGTCCGTTTCCTGCGCTAACCAAGTACGTAGAAAAAGGCAGAGAATTTCTACACTAACACTAACGTGAAGAACAAAAGTCGAAACAAGGCGGCTGTGATGAAGTCTCTTCCTGTGGGCAAAAAGGGTGAAGGACGTAAACGGCGCTGATACCTGACTAGATTATATGTTGCTGTACAAAGCGGTGTCTGATACCCTGTTATCATCCGGAGCTTTCTCGGTTCGTTTGAACGACTTGTAACCCTGAGCACACAAAGTCCGGACACCCTGTGAGGCACACGTCACAACCTAGTGTCGTAGCCGCATCAATATATAACGGCTTCAACATATCCTCACTCCCCCACATGCTTCCCTTCCCTCCTCTTATTAACTTCAACTTTGTCGGTTCGATCTCTTCGACATATCAACATCTCGTGTTTGAGCAATGTATTAGCTCTCCTTTATTAAGTTAGCAACACTTTGCAACAACTGTGTAGTAACCCTGTTACCGAAGTAGACCATGGCAGCTCCTTGCAACCTAGGGTGATTCCCTGAATGGCATCAAATTGATTACATCAGCGGTAAAGACCTCAACCACTCGGTACTCGGTAGGTATATCATTTCCGAACTTAAGTCAGAGTTCCTACCCTCGTGCGTCTCTATCCTGCGCTGTTCTGCCACGTTCGCTCCACTCCCTTTAACCACCACCGAGCTAGCTGCTCCGAATTCTGCGCTCAACCCCTATGTACGCTTTCGCTTCCTACGGTCTATGGACATACACAAGCACCGACGGACGGACCTCGATTGAGTCACCTTCACCACACACCACTATTTGTCTTCTTCATCCTCGTGTCCCCATCTCCCTCGTGTGTGCTACCCTTTCCCATGCGGAAATTTGGTGTAGTAGTACGCTATCTCCTTGACAGTGTTTTGTCCTTTACATATGATGAAATTTTAATCATGAACCAACTTTTCAAAATTCTCGTGTCTCTGGTTTGCTAGGTGAGAAGAACGTGCTGCCCGGTCTTGACATGCTGTTCCGAAAAAAATCGACTGGTGAAGACGACATAGCCAGGCTGCAGTAGGAAGGGGCGGGAGCTCGCGGCTGGCAGAGGAATCAGGATGCTGTGCGCAAACTTTGGCCGCGGGCAGAATATTTGAAGATAGAAAAATAAAAGCTTCGTATCTGTCTCCGACACAGTTTCCGGGGTCCAACCTTACTAAATAACGTCAGTTGAATGGTAAAATGGTTTCTGTAAAGATCTAGAGAGCCAATCTATAACAGGTCATAATCCCAACGTTCATCATAGCATTGGCAGGCACGCCGCTTGTAAGGACACTAGCTCTAACGCGTAACGTATAAGCCGGATTTGTGAAAATGGCCGAAATCTGGTACGAGGACTGCGTGGGAAAGCACAGAAGCTGATTATCTATAAACCTTCGACTGAGATTTCACAGAATCACCCCATCTTGACTTTTGTCCTTCATGTCTGTTACCAAAGTCCACGCTCGCCAGGTAAGTCAGTCATGTCTTCACTGCAAACTTGACTCGAATGCTTGCAGATCTTTGACTCTCGTGGCAACCCCACCGTCGAGGTCGACCTTTACACTGATAAAGGTACGAGATCGAACGCGATCTAACTTTGGGTTCCGCTCTTACACGTATTTCTTAGGTCGTTTCCGTGCTGCTGTCCCCTCTGGTGCATCCACTGGTGTCCACGAAGCTGTCGAGCTTCGCGATGGCGACAAGGCCAACTACGTGGGAAAGGGTATATATCCCGTTTCATGAGTACTAGTCATGTCCACTGAACATCACTCAGGTGTCTCAAAGGCTGTCAACAACGTGAACACTGTTCTTGGTCCAGAGCTGATCAAGTCTGGCCTCAAGGTCACTCAGCAGAAGGAGATAGATGACCTTCTGATCAAGCTTGATGGCACTCCTAACAAGGGCAAGCTCGGGGCCAACGCTATTCTTGGCGTTTCTATTGCCGCTGTGGAGGCTGGTGCTGCTGAGAAAGGTGTTCCTGTATACCAGCATCTCGCTGAGCTGGCTGGTGTCAAGCCCCCCTATATTATGCCTTGTCCTGCATTCAACGTCATCAACGGTGGTTCGCACGCAGGTAACAAGCTGGCATTCCAGGAGTTTATGCTTCTTCCTACCGGTGCTACTTCATTCACTGAAGCGATGAAAATTGGTACCGAGACCTACCACACGCTGAAGAAGGTCATCAGCGCAAAATACGGTATTGATGGTAAGTAATGTGTACTGTTATCCCGCTTGGGGCTGAATTATTTGCTCCAGCCGTCAACGTCGGTGATGAAGGTGGATTTGCTCCCAATGTCTCGGGAGCCGAGGAGTCTCTGGAACTGCTCACTGAGGCTATCAGCAAGGCCGGATACGAAGGCAAGATCAAGATTGCTCTTGATGTTGCTTCATCCGAGTTTTACAAGGACGGCAAATATGACCTTGACTTCAAGAACCCCAACTCTGACCCTCAAAAGTGGATCTCAGGCACTGAGCTCGCAGACCTCTACCTCAGCTACGTCAAGAACTACCCCATTGTCTCCATCGAAGATCCTTTCGACCAAGATGATTGGGAGGCATGGACTCACTTCACCAAGAATAGCTCAGTCCAGATTGTTGGTGATGACTTGACTGTTACCAACCCTCTTCGCATCAAGACGGCCATCGAGAAGAAGGCATGCAATGGTCTCCTCTTGAAGGTCAGTGTTCATAATCTTTCAGGCAGTACTGTCGTTTGACACTGGCACTTCTTAGATCAACCAAATTGGTACCATTTCGGAATCCATCCAGGCGTACGTTACTGCTACCATGAGCGTGCGTATGAACCTCGGCTGACGATGTTTTAGTGCACAACTTGCTCAGTCTGATGGCTGGGGAGTCATGGTGTCACACCGCTCTGGTGAGACGGAGAACACCATCATTGCTGACTTGGTCGTTGCCCTTGGAACCGGTCAGATCAAGACCGGTGCGCCCGCTCGTAGCGAGCGTGTCGCAAAATACAATGCATTGCTGCGCATTGAGTGAGTTTCTGTTTTGCACTGGAAAAAACTCTGTTGATCATTTGTCAGGGGCGAGATCCAAGACGGAGTGTATGCTGGCGACAAAGGTCTTTCCGCTGGTTTGGCGGCACCTGCTCTGCTCAAAAAGTAGATCGAGAGATGCATGGACCAGTGACGGGAAGCTCAACTGTATGATTCATAATTTAGGTAAATGCCATGTTGACAAGTGTACGTTCGATCATGACGATAACCCAAACATTTTCAAATGCCTGAATGCACGTCATATGTAACTATGTCGCGATACGTTGAGATGAAAGATATAGTATTCTTGTCGTTGTATTCTGTAATCGATTTGATTGCGATTACAGAGATTGAAGACAAGAATACCATTTCCCAGCAGAGCCCCCTGAGAGCATTCAATATTCATCTCCGGCACTCCAATGGATGCATCAATATGGTGGAGCTAGTTCCTACATCATCCGTGTCACTCCAGCGGGCTTACAAGAGATGAGGGGCACGCGCATCAAAGGAATATTTCTTCATCCAGACCTTCGATAAAGGAATAGAACAGCTTAGGCTGCCATGAGCCATAAAGAATAAGTATCAGCCCGAAGTAATAAGTCGAGGAATAACCGTTCGCGAGCAACGTCTAAAATAAACAATCTGATTGACCCTCGATGGCTTAAGAGCCCCGAAATTTGGTCTTGACGAAGTTGAGGTCCGGTATTACCTTGCCACACTTAATTCTATATCAAAGTAATACTCAGGCTAGAGTGGACTAGACGACATGCTAACTAACTAGCCCTAACCTAAGTGTTCATGCACATACTTGTATTCCCATCTTCTTCTTTCGTCCGTCGTTTCTCGATCGCTGACACTGATCTTCAAGTTCGCTTTCTGTTCCATTGCTATCCCCCAGCCTGATTTTTGGAAGGAGCATATGATGATGCTAATCTTCCATATTTCACTTGGCTATGTCGTGTCCGAAGCACAGGGCATTCCATTTGCATGATGGTGCACCTACACATCTACTACTAGGTATCGTAAGCCCGCTGGTACGAGAGTTCCCATAATCGACATAAATACCGTCCGAGATATTGAAAGACAAGCTTTCAGTATCACTGCCTTTTGGCGTGACGGTTAAGCGGGCGACAGTCTTGATTACTTACAGGTCCCCGAAAATATTGTCACACAGGCAGCCAATATCAGTCTGCGAGGTCTGGGTTAAACATCCATCTGGACAGGGAAAACGACCTGGATATCGATTGTGCATGTGTCCGCCTACAAACTTGTCCTATTAAACCATTGCTGTATCCACAAATCAAACACTTACCCATATCAAAGTAAGTCGATCTTGTTCCAGGAATAACAGAAGCCCTGTAATATTGGCAAAAGGAGTGCGGCAGACGGTCAGTGTAAGCAGGATCCGAGAAAATAATGTCTCTATCGAAGTGCAAGCAAATTACCGAACCTGCCTTGCAGATCAGAAGGTCTGGTGAGTCGGGATCATATATAGTTTTCTGAGTGAGCAATGACTTGCTTATTGAAGTCCCAGATTTGCACGTAGCAGCAGCTGTCAGCGGAGAGTACTCCCAGTCTTTGTCCAGGCTCAAGAGTACGATCTCAATTGCGGAAGATGATCATAGGCCATTTTACTACCAAATTGAGACACGCCAATTTTGTGGCTCGGGTGCTATAGCTAACGGCATGTTTGTGCATTGCTTGGCCTATTGCGTTGTTACTGTTACTTGAAGGCCTACTCCCGATGTCTGATCCAGCCACATGGCTACATACTACTAGTACCGAAGTTCGAGCGCTATCTGCGCCAAACTGACCTATTGGCATCCAAAGGCGTATTCCGAGGTAAATGGGGTCACTAGCAATATTCAATCGGCGGCTAAATTCACTTATATATCAGTGTGAGGTGTGCGGATAACAATAGTAGGCACAGTTTTCACCCTTGATTTTTGAAAAAACATGGTTTGTGGCCGCCCATCATTATGTTCTGATTCGTTCTCTTATCTTGCTTGTTATCGTTAGTGGGGCTTGTATTTGACCTTAGCACTCCGACGAATCACGGAACTCTGATTTCATTCGTGAAAAATACATCATGTTCGACTCAGAATTAGTTGTGAGCGCACAGTGGTATCAAAACTTCTATCGATGTAAAGCTGTGACGGTGCGGGTGTCACGGATATCAAGACTAGATAAGTATAGTCACCTCAGCCTTCACAAAGATTTTTCTGAAGACATTATAGCAACACGACGATCCTCTCCAGTGATTTCCTAACACCATCATGATGGCCAGTATGGCTATGTAGTACCGACCGTCAGCCGGTGTCTGGTTCCAGGATTTGAACGGTGCAATCTGATATCTCGTCGCTCGGAAAGTCCAATCTAGGTTGCACTATAGCATCTGACCAATGAAGGTTTCAATAAGGCTGAAATTAACTCCAGAACTTACGTGACGCTAATGACTTGGTTGATCACGCTGACAGTCCGGTAAGCATATGTGCCGGCCTATCAGCTCATTTCAAGGTTCATTCAGGCCTATCAAAGCAGGGGCCGTTAGTTCAAAAAGAAGCCTTGCGACAAAGACGATGTAGGGAAGACGTTTTGGTTAACCTCTGACTAACCAGTTTCATCAGGCCGATCCTACTATCTTTGCAGTCTGACGCTGACAGAATCGTAATTATATACCACATTCATTTATTGCAGATGTATATGAAGTGGGCCGATTCTAACCTGGGCAGATATATAAGTTCTGCGGGAAGCTCTGGACTGGACCAGCGACAATTCGCCCCTCTTTCAACTTTTCCATTCCTCATTAGAAACTATATTTCAGGAGTCATGGATGCTCGCCCAAAGACGATATACCTCCCAGACACTATGGTTAACTGGCCCTGGCCTCGTACCATCAATCCTCATCACGAAGATGTGAAAGCTGAAGTTGATGCTTCATTCCGTGATTTCAAGGCCCTGAGTCCTAAGTCACAAGAAGCATTCGACAAGTGTGATTTTGGTGCGACCTATGTCACGAACCCTAGATTCTGACGATGATTAACATATTCTTATAGCCCGCCTAACAGCACTGGCTTATCCCAATGCACCAAGAGGTTCGTACTCTGGCAATTAACGCATCGCAGAACCCTGATTCCGTTCCTGAACAAAATAGAACACCTTCGAAGCGGTTGTGACTCGATGAATTTATTCTTCATTGTGGAGGAGTACACCGACATGGAGAATGAAGCAGTCACGAAGGAAAGGGTGGACATCGTGCTCGATGCCCTACACAATCCCCATAAGATACGACCAGAAGGCGAATGCATCCTCGGCGAAATTGCGCGACAGTAGGTGCAAGTACTTCTGACTTATTTGACAATCATCTGAAGCCCAAGGGTTTTTTGCATAGATTTTGGGCTCGCGCAATCCAATCCGCAAGCCTGCCTTCTCAACGTCACTTCCTTGAAACATTCGATGAATACCTTAATTCAGTAGTTGTCGAGGCTCTCGACCGTGAGCAAGGCCGTAGGCGCGGTCTCGATGACTACCTCAAGCTCCGGCGCAAAACTATTGGCGTAAAACCTTCTTTCCCAATATTGGAGATGGGGATAGACCTTCCTGATGAAATGTTCTACCATCCCGTCATCATGGATCTTGCTGATTGCGTCACAGAGCTCATAATTATCGATAATGTAAATTGATATTGAGGATGTCATAGTTTGCGGTCTGCTAACATCTTTCACAGGACATGATGTCGTACAACAAGGAGCAAGCGGCTGGGAACGAATTCCATAATTTGATCAGCATTGTCATGTTGGAACTGGACCTCGACAGAGGTAGCGCGATGGCTTGGGCAGCACATTATCACGCTGGAGTTCAGAAACGATTTATCGATGGTCTTGCGAAGGTTCCCTCATGGGGGCCTTCCGTCGATGTCCTAGTCAAGGAGTACCTTAACGGGGTAGCAAACTGGGCTCGAGCAAACCATTCTTGGAGTTATGAGAGTCAAAGGTAATAAGACTTTCTTGTTGGTATGAACCATCACTTAACCCGATTGGAATTGCAGATACTTTGGCACCATGGGCCCGGAAATACGACAAACTAGGCTTGTCCCGTTGTTGCCAGGACCCGATCGCAAAGCCATATGAATCTATTAGATCTTTCCAGATACAAAGCTCTTTCCACAGAATTTGGTGCTAGCTTTTCTTGTACCTCGTAAATTTCGCTTTGATATATATGTCACTACCATGCTTCTCACTTGGTTTCTCATATATGCCACTCCTCCCGTTTCTCTAGCTTTCAGCCGACTACTACTTTTCATATGACTTTTGTAACCCCACCGGCAGTCGCAGTCACCTCAAATTTACGGTCATTTTTCGTTGATTACCGTTAGGAGTAGGGGTTCCGCGGGCATTGTGTGGTGCTCTAGAAGCCATCGACAATCTACCAGTAACCCTTTCAGTAAACTCTTCAAATTGAAGCTTTCGCACAACTCGAACTTCATTTCAAACACCACGCTTCGCCTGCCAAATCTACAGATGACTACGTAGCTTATAATCAACTTGAAGCACGTCACTAGACCATGTTCGTAGTTAGCCGTCATCATCGCAGCCTGCCTGCTTTGCTTTAGGCTTAGGCTGCTGGCTCCTGTCCCACTGTCATCTTGGATTTGGTCAAGGTCACCCACCTTGCAGGCAGACTTTCGTACGCATAGGGACTACTTCCAGAATAACTCGTGAACGCTTTTCCCGAATCGCGATGGAGGGCGTACATAGCACACGATGCGTCATGATGCTCCTGCACTAAGCCTAAGCTGAAAGTTATATCACATTTGCTCATGAATGCATATCATATCTCGACTCAAATATTCCTTGGGCCGAGTATGAGAGCTTCCGCACTAAGTGGCGCTGATTGTGGTTCTCCGTATGTCACAATGCTTCTGTTCGGATGTATCAGCGCTTCAACCCTCTGATAAACAATTATAGAATGATAGTCCCGACAGGACTAGTGTGGCATGAATTTGCAAAGTTCGAATCAATGTTGACTCAAACATTCCTAGGGCCGAGTATCGCTCCTACGGGAGCTTCTGCACCGGACGTCGTTAATTGCGGTTCTCCGCATATCATGCTTCTGTACGGATATATCAGCCCTCTGATAGAGGTAAGCAATTATAGACTCTACAGCAGATTGTCACGGAGCTTGGGAGTTTAGGCTATATCATGTGGAATGGCTTTCAACGAGCAACGCGAGCAGAATCGTCATGGCATGATCCACTCCTCGAGTTTGGTTAAGTGACTTGGTGCATGCAACTGCTCGCCGTGCGGGTTAGTGACTGCCAATCGTAGTTACAAGTTCTTCCTCTGAATTCGGCAGGGTGATGGTGGAAGAGGTCTTGCATAACGGCGAGATTGCTGTCGCTACTCTGCGCAAGCCAGTCCGTCCTTAATAACCTCGCGGCCTAATGATACGCCCACTCAGCTCCTAGTACTACCCCTAGATGTGACGAACGAAGCGCAGGTAAAATCTGTCTTCGCACAGGCTAAGGATGCCTTTGGGCACATCAACGTCGTATACAACAACGCGGGGCGGGCAGTATGTCAAAAATTGAAGGGAGTGTCGTTGGACTTGCCAGGATGCCAATTTCTGGGGCGCAGTAACAATAAGCTTTGAAGCGGTTGGATTCTTTAAAGAAGAGAACTCGAAAGGTTGTGGGGGGATGCTCATCCAAGTATCGAGCCTGGCAGCGACCACCGCAGTCCCGCTTGTCGGGTTCTATAACACCACGTGAGTGGGTTGGTGCTGTCTGGGTAAGCGTCGCTGAGACATTTGTTGTTCGTAGAAAAGCAGGTAAATTAGTTGTGTTGCTTATGGCACATTGTGTGCCTTCGATTCACCACCGTTAGCCTTGGATTCGTTCACTGAGGTTCTGGCACAGGAAGTCATTCTCGCTTGGAAGATTCGTGTGAGTAATTGATTCGGAAGGGATGACTGCTGAGTGGCCATACAGCTCGTGAGTGTTCACCCAGGTTGGAGTCTGAACACGCGCGCTCATTATAGTATAAGCAGTGAGATGCTCGAGCCTCCAGCACCGTATGCATCGTAACCAACAGCCGTAATGACGAAGTTTCGTACTATATTCGATGCGTTCATCGGAAGTGATGCGCTGGCTGCCGTTAAGGTTGTGACAAACGCATTTGGTCGGTGACGATGAACGATGCGCAGAGGGCATTCCAGTCCTTGTGAACTTGCATATGGGCATGAACTTTCTGGAGTGTGCACTGCGTGCATGTGAAGATTGGGCGGCTGCATGGTGAGCTACTGTAGAATACGAAGGTTGTGAGTCTGAGGAGTCATGGTCACAGTCACGGTCACGGTGCGACACGCGCCTGCAGTCGCACACTCCGAAGGCTGGGGCCATAATGTTCATTTATCAATGCCATACATGATACTACTAGACAGGGGATTAATACCAGAAGGACTTCGAATGCCTACTACCTTCTCTTCTCTTCGTCTCATTGGCATCTCTGAGCCTGTTTCGGCCCCGACAACGCCCCCATCATGATGTACGGGGTGTCAATGCCCTATCTCGTCCTCTGCGCGGTTATATCGAGCGCCAACACAACATCTTATTATTTCAGGATAAGTTCTCCTTTGTAATCAACCTCTTTTTTCTCGCGTCTCTAGAAACGTGCAACTTCGTCAGCTGAGAAATACCTTAGATTGCAACACTGTATGGGGTCCTTTTACTGCAGCCAAGTTTTCAAACGCTTATGCACGCCCAGTCCAATTGAAAGAATCGTACACAAAACGTAAGTATGTGGATTTAACGTTCTTCAATTATTGGAGGCAGGGCGCAACTCAAGGCATCCTAATTTCATACTTACGAGCTCGAATCCTTTTACAGACGTCTTCCAAATGTCTTCTGTTCATCTGTTCAGCCCCTTATCACTTTGGGCCCAATTACCCCCCACTGCTGCTGTGTCATACACTACATCCTTGGAGATACCAGGGAATGGTACCCAAAAACTCATTCCGGCGGAGATTACACCTCGCCCTGCCTCGCGAAAACAGTCTTATGGACCCTGTCGGATGTTGCTCGACGCCTGACCTTGAGGACGAATTCGTGCCATCGCTGAGTCCACCACTACGTTCCGCATCCCCTGCCCATATCGAATCGGCTCTACCCTCCAATGGGTCCTCCCAAGAGCCTGTAGCTCAGTCTTGGCGACGTGCATCTTCGTCAATCGTTCCGGCCTCACTGCGGCCAAAACGTGCTCCTGCCCTCCATTTTCAAACACCCAAAGATCGCTTCCGCGCATGTGTTCGAAAAGTGATTTCCATACACCGGAAAACAACAATCCTTTTGGGCTTCGGTCTCGCCGGTGCAGAACCTGGTGTTGACCCGCGCAGGCAGTCCGCATATCTCCATTACGCGCACATTCGCGAGCGCTGCGAGATCCAAATCGCCGACTATAGTACCTTGAGGAGTAGCTTTGGAAATATGGATAATGAGCGTTTTGTACAAATGTTAAATGATAAGAGAAGTTCGGAGAGGGAGCCATGGGTGAAGGTGAGGTGGATAAACGTGTGCGGCATCAGCTGGGATGTGATGAGTGCGCTTGCCCTGAAGTATGGTATGTAAATGACTACGATACTTCATGCGGGGTGTTGATAGTAATCGTGCGTAGGCCTTCACCCGCTCGCCCTCGAAGTTGTCCTGCACAAACACGGACACACGCGCTCCAAAATGGACTACTACAGTCAACACCTCTTTATCCATGTCTTATCTCACACACTCGCTTCCTCCTCTTCATCTCCAAACCCCTACACACCAGAAGGCGAAGACCCACCACGGAGCTACTCACCAGGTCCAATGACGCCAGGGGACTACCACAAGGAGTATTTCAAGGATGACGGCATCCATGCAGATGCTGGGGATGAAGGTAGCACGATGTATGGCGGCAGTGCGCCTGCAACCTGGCGACTTGGAAGCACTATCAGGAGCAGAACGTCAGCGACAGCTGACATGGAAAGTGTAGCAAGGGCCAGGGATGATGGCTTAACTCCGCTAACATCCGCTACACGGAAAGACAGCGCGGTGAGTTGCATCTCACATTTTGCGTTTTTTCTCGTTGTATCTTCATTTTTATCGCCGACCTGCATTGACTGGATTCATCATATTTCGATTTGCACTTTTGTCGACAGTACTTCTCTACTCTTTTCTCTCCAAATCTACACAGTCCCAAACCAATACTCATTATAATGTCCTTCCTGCGCAGTCCCGAAAACGCCGGGAGAAAGCTCAGATGACTCTCACTGATCTAAAGAAGGCAGGCCGCGTGAACGTTTGCATCCACCCGATATCAATTTTCTTATTGAGAGATGGTGAGTGCTGTACTCATTTGCCTAGTTGTGTCATCATTGTGTGGTTTTACATTTGTTTCCTGCCACATTCTGTCCTTCCTTCTCAGCATACTTGTCTTGTCATGCATCAATTCATGCCGATCGAACTGCGACACATCCGGTGGGCTATGTGCATGATGCTTTGTGTTGCATATATGTCGATTTTGAGCCAACATCGACCATCGAGTCACTAGTATTATATGCTTTTATTTTCACGCATATACCACGATTTGTGTGCATTTTTGTTCTTGGTTTGACGTATATGCTTCGAATAACAAAAGCTGACTCTATGTGACACAGGCACAGTGATATCTGTCATGCCGTCCAATTTCATCGACTTTACAGGTTCCATCATGGCGCGTCTCCGACAGCCTGACACGGGGCTGCGTACATCTGCAGACCCCAGTCTACTCGTTCAAAGTCTGCTCGACCTCATCGTGGACTCTGCACTTGAGGTGGTGGATGCATTCCATGAGGAGATATTACAGCTAGAATACGATGTGTTGATGAAGCCGGATATGAAAGTGGTTACAAGGCGTGCGCATTATTTCCCTTGCCCGTGTCTATTTGTGTTGACAGCCCTGAAATCAGTACACATTCTTTCCGGCGATTTGATGTTGCATAAGCGGACCCTTGGGCCCCTCAAGACGGTTATTGGTGGGCTACGACGGTATGACGAGGACCGGTGTGCTGCACTTCTCTCGCCTGCTGAGAAGTGGGTTCAAGAGCAAAGCAGAGAGAAAGTGAAGGGTTTCATGTCCCATAAGAGCAAAATATATTTGGTGTGTCATGACCTGTCTTCAGCCCCTTGTATAAGTTTTGGCTGAGGTGGGATGCGGTGGCAGGCGGACGTACACGATCATATGGAATATGTCCTTACAAGCATGGATATGTTCGCGGGGATCACAGAAAACCTGATCAACTACACGTTCGATGTGCGCAATTACTTTATCTCATTTTTTTCGTGCTGATTGACGTGAGTGACAGATGAAATCATACGAGATGAACGTAACCATGTGCGTGTATTTTAATTCCATCGGGATGCTTCGAGTTGATGTCGACTCTCAGGCGCCGCCTCACCCTCGCAACTCTCATATTCCTCCCGCTGACATTGCTCACGGGTTATTTTGTGAGTTTCTGCCCACTTCACTTAGCCCACCGAGTTAAACGTATTGCATAGGGAATGAATTTCAAATCTATGTGGAGTGTCAACAACCATTCCGACGCCCTGTACGTATCCCGAACTCGCGCAAAACTCGAACTGACGTATGCACGCGCACAGATTTTGGATGATTGCAATCCCTGTCACGACATTCGTCATGCCCTTAGTAGTCAGACTTCAAGCGTACTACGCATCATGCTGAGAGGCGGTGGGCGGCGAAGTTATTGATGGTGCGTTATTGCTTACTTTGTTGTGTGCTTATATGTTTATAATTGCCTGATAGACTATCAAGGGCAAGTTGGCGTGAATGCCACTGACAGATGCCACAGCTCAGCGCGGTTGTATTGCCCGACTTTACGCGGTTTGTTGTTTTATAGATTTCGGAGCATTCACTTGTTCGATCGGGCTGGGTATGTCTTGTTTTCTTGTTAGAGTGTAACTGTACTCGCTCGAAACTTCTTGTTCTTGACGTACCGGTCTTTGCTAAAGTAATTACTGCAAGTGATTCCCGCTGCGCAGTAAAAGGACATTCTGTACGAGTTTCCATCTGCTTATAGAAGATTCCTTTTTGTGTATCCATATGTAGTATTGTGTATAATATGTCGTCTATCTTGCCCTGCGAAAATAACATCTAAGTATACGTGCATGGTATGTATAATTAACAGATGCTCAAAGAGCTGTACTGAAACGAAAGATAGGTTGAGTGTGAGGCGTTGGCTGCATACAGCAGAAATCAGAATTCGCACACAGGTACTAAAAGTAAACATAAAAACTTGAGTTGTGTCAATTGAATGAGTCATGATTGAAATTGAGTACAGCCCAGTTGTGCGCACAGTGGGACGTTGGCTGTCGTTAAAAGCCATATGTAACTTGATGTAAGACGAAGTAGAAATTAAAACTCTAGCGGGCAACAAACAGTGTGAACATTCACAAAAGTTTTAACATGCGCGGATGCAAAGCCCAACAGGTCCATTGAGTATCAAAGGCACATGGTCCTGGCACTCCTGTGGTTGAATTACTGAGGGAAACTTCATAGCGCCGCAGCCAGTGCTTGAGGTCTGAGATATTAGACTACACACCCGCCGGTAAACAAAGGTTTATCACCTAGAGGAGTAGGCGGACCACGGTTACATTCAAAAAGTACCTCGATAACACCTGTGTATAGATATTAACGCGAAAGCACGGACCAACGAATCTGTCTGCGATACCGCAGTCGTCGACCAATCTTTCCCCTTGCACGCAGGTGACATGCTGATTTTTCAAGTGTGCACGCACAAGTTGGAGTACCCTATCCTACATGGAGCCTACGCTTGACGCGTGTGGCTCGGGAGTATTTCAAGTTGTACTTCATCACAATCAGTGGACCGGTGAGTTCTTGCTGGCGATTATGCTGATTGCGGTGCATTTACAATGTACATGCTTTATAATGGCGTGGTTCTGCTGCTGTAGTAGATGATGAATGTTGAAGATATGGTGGGTCGAAATTGGGAAGAGATTTCCTCACAGTAGACAGCTTCAGTAGGAGATATATCCACGAAGTTTATCCATGATGCATGAAGGAACTCTTCTGTGTGATTATGTTTGACGCTTGAACGCTGTGGTGGCACGTGACCGTGAAATACAATTTCAAAATTTCTAGCATGCACTACGTCGGCAAAGCCTTGTCTCTCCTACAGCCAGAATACATAGAAGAGGAAGACTGCCCTATATTATCCCTCTTTCATATGGTCTAAGTATCTGACATATGTTTCGGCTGTTCGGCTAGGATACGCTGGGTTTGTGAACATCGATCGACAGCGCATGGAAGGAACCAGCGTGTGCTCGATTTCATGGGACAGTGGGAGGTCCAAGTAACTAGCCATGGACAGCAGCCGCAGCTGATGCGTACCCGCCATCTGGCTACACCACAGCAGCGGGAGTCATGATTGTATGATCTGTGGCGGCAGTAAGCAACACATCCTGCTGAATACTTGCAGTCTCCAAGTCAGTAGGCAGAATTCATGCACGTAAAATCGATGCAATTATTCATTATGGGTCCCTGGCCGCTTCCAGTTACCGATTGTTCCTCTAGACCTGCGCAAAGGAGTTCGAGCGGGCATTCAAGATTTCGTGAGCATGCAAGTGGGCATGAGATTCACCGGAGTGTGTGCAAAAATTGGGCGGTTGCAGGGCGAGCTGGTGTGGAATCATGGTCGCATTGTCTCCAGGGTTAGTAGTTGTGTGTTGGTTGTGTATATGCACGAGTGCACGCATGCTAATAACCATTTGACAACATCATTAAAACTAACTTCGAAGCACTATAGTTAAACGATAGCTAATTAAGGTGGCTGTGGTCGCGCAGCTATCCTGCACTTCATTGCGATCTCCGTATGCTCTCCACAAAAGCAAGAAGATCATCTTCCAGCATTGGTTTCAATCCGTAATCGACGTCCAGCTGAAGGTCCAAAAGACGGTGGTCAAGTTCTTGGACCAACTCAACAGGTGCAGCAGGTCTATCCTCTAGTTCAAGCTGGTCGAGCCATGACCGAAATGTATGGATCTCAGCATCTTCTACGTTGACGTTGAGATCAGGACCAGTCATCTCTCCTTTTCCGACTTGCTTGGGAGGTTTGAAACGTACAAATGCATACGTATAACATCGATCTCTTTCATTCCCAGAGCTGTCTCTCGGTGGCGTATGCAACGCAAACACCCAGCCTTCTCCTTGGAGACCTCGCAGTGAATACTGCGGAATACACGCGACCTCTCTATTCTCGCTATGTACTTGGCGGAGCCCAGAAAACAAAGTGGCAGGAGTGACAGTGGATACGTGCTCCAGGGGATCAAGTTGCCATGGGAAATCTTTGGGGCCAGATGCCACATCTGAGATAGCGTGGGTGATGACAGTTGGCTGGAACAATGCTACGAGATCGAGGATAGCGTGGATGATGTCAGATGACTGGAACAATGGCAGTGTGCACGCAACCGGATGGCTATGCGTGCCTGAGGCTTGTATGTAGGAGAAGGCAATGGGGTAGGGCGCGTTTTCACAAGTGAGGGCCAGAGGCTGCAAAAGAGAGGGATGTAATAAGGTATCGAGTGAGCGAAAAAGATGCCCGTTGTATCCCAGGAGCTTATAAACGTCGTCATTTTCTATCAAGGGGCAACCTAGAGCTATTAATTTGTTCAGGTGTGGAGCAAGCTGCAAGATCCTTGGGACGATCTGCGCCGTGAGGTAGGAATTATGGGAGAGATCTAGTATTCTCATTTTGTTCCCATGTATGTTCAATATTTCTTCAACCTGATCGTCTCGTACGGCTATCTCCGCAAGTGACAGCACGCCGTTGTTGTCGCTCAACTTCTTCACGACAACACTGTGCAATAATGGCATTCCGTTGTGAGGAAACGGCAATAATTCATGCAGGGCGCCATAAACTTGAAACGTTTTCCCAGCCTGCCAGAGTTCATACATCTGTTCGATGTCATACGTGTCATGGGTGTCCTGTGTAATGGTTATGGTTGGAATTTGCGCATTCGATTTCGTCATTAGTTCCGGTGCGACTGATTGTAACAGAGGCATCCCGACAAGCTTTCTGACTTGCTCGCTGATCGTGAAGTCAAAGGCCTTAGATCCCGAAGAAGCACAATCTTGGGGAATTTTAGTCCTCTTGTATTCCTTTGGCCAAACTGATATCAGAGTGTCCAGGCTTATGAGCTTCACGCTGTCAAGTTTTGTGACATGGCCATTGTCGTGTAAATTACCGTCCGTATACGCATGCAGATATTGGCGCGCAGAGAGCGGCATACGTGGAGATTGGATAGCTTCGTCCTCATCATTGCTTGCCGTCCTTGTAACGTGAACGAAGCAATACGTCGGCGACCTCACCGAGGTGAGGTCAATCACAGTAATGTCTTGTGGATTGTCTGCTGAACAGACTCAATTGTCGTCTACACTTATACGAGGTGCAAACCTGCACTATCGTTTCCGATAATCTCATCGAGGGGAGAATATTGGCCATACCCAACATTTGGGTTGCCAGGGACGATAAACTTTGTGCTCCAGCACATAGCCATGAGGAAAGTAATGAACGGGCAACATATAGCCGGTAGATCCTCGTGGCTGCAGTACTTGTCATGCAGAGCGCTTGTTTCTGACTCTATTACTTCCTTATTACTCCCATGTTTCATCGTGGCAAGAAAGCGAAGAAGACAGCACAGCGCTATTGCCCCTTGACATTGCATGACGTGACATGCTGCCACACAGCGGTACTTGGTAGATCCTGAGCCCGCCGTACGGACGCGAGCGATGACGAATATATGTTGTCGTTCACCCATTGGAAGTCTGAGTGACAAGAAGAGTAGGGAAGTTAGGACTGTAGTGAAGACTTCGATATCGGAGCTTTTCGGACGACTCGGGGACTAGTGGCGTCAAGCTGTGCATGTCACGGGTCCGCGTCACAACCGCGGCGGGCGCGGCAGGGTCGGCAGGGTCGGAGGACGTCAAAATAGTTGCGCCCAGTGGTTAAAGCTAAAGCTTGTTCTTATCTAAACTTGCCATTTGTTATCCGACCAATGAAATTTCATCCAACCTTTCAAGTTAACGCGCATGTCAGGCCTTAAAGCTTCAGCATCCAGCGACGGTCAACTTGTTACTCGGCTGAACAGACTTGGACCTGACTGCCTGAATAGTCAGCACTAAACGTATCTCCTTGCCACACCATGTTCAACGTGATGGCCCTCAGAGAGAGCGTCTGGGAAATGTTGGACGCTAGTTTGAAGAAGAGTGAGTTCCACAACCATCATAGTGACCAGAGTACAACATTAATACTGATTATCTTGTGCTACAGGAGACACTACCACTCAGTGAGCCAATAGCACTTCTGCCGTTGCAGTATTCTCATTGGATACCACAGGTTCGACCGTGGAGACATCTCTTTCATAATTATCGCAGGTGCCATGGTATTCTTTATGATACCAGGGATTGGTTCGCAATTTCTCTCACATCGCATTTCCCATCCGTTCACTTACATTGTTGTATCAGCCTTTCTATATTCCGGATTGTCAAGACGAAAGTCCGCTTTGTCTCTTATCTGGGCAGTCTCTGCCAGCAATGCAGTCTGTATTTTTCAGTGGTACTTCTGGGGTTACTCCTTGGCGTTTTCGCCAACTGCCACCAACGGATTCATAGGCAACCTTGCCAACTTTGGTCTCATAAACGTTCTTGGCGACCCGTCACCAGGTTCCCCATTAATTCCTGACCTGTTGTACTCATTCTATCAGATGGAATTCGCATGCGTCACAGTAGGAATCCTGATGGGCGGGATCGCCGAGCGTGGACGGGTTCTCCCGGCTATGATTATCACATTTTTGTGGATGACCTTGGTTTATTGCCCCCTCGCTTGCTGGCCGTGGAATATAAACGGATGGGCCTTCAAGTACGGCGTTTTCGATTATGCAGGTTAATTAATTATGTTTACTGCTGTATTGTTCTCTCTGACATTGTTTTTCATTCTAAAAGGTGGAGGCCCTGTGGAGATAGGAAGCGGGATAGGAGGACTTGCCTATTCCTGGGTGCTTGGCCGCAGGCAGGAGAAGGAACTCCAAAACTTCAGACCGCACAATGTTTCCATGGTTAACCTGGGTACATTCATGCTCTGGTTTGGATGGCTCGGTTTTAATGGCGGTAGCGCTTTTGGAGCGAATTTGCGCGCCATCATGGCGGTGTGGAACTCTATGCTTGCTGCCGCATTTGGCGGTATTGTTTGGTGCCTCCTCGACTATCGTTTGGAGCGCAAGTATACTATGGTCGGGTTTTGTTCTGGAACCATTGCAGGTCTTGTAGCAGCCACGCCTGCTTCAGGATACATCCATCCCTGGGCGGCAGTCATTATGGGCATAGTCACCGGCGTTGTGTGTAATTACGCAACTAAAGGTGAGACTACTGGATTGTTCGGAAGTGCACTTATTGACCGACCCTAAGTTAAATCTCTTATTCATGTGGATGATGCACTCGATCTTTTTGCCGAGCACGCTGTCGGCGGGATCTTGGGTCTCTTGGCGAACGCCTTTTTCGCTTCCCGTTCCATTATCGCCCTGGATGGCGTCAACCTGAATGTTACTGGTGGGTGGGTCGACCACAATTGGAAACAACTTTACATTCAAGTCGCCTATATTTGCGCGGTGTGTTCATACACGTTCGTTGTTACTGCTCTCATCGTCAAGTGCGTCGACTGCATTCCTGGCCTCCACTTACGCACAACGGTTGAGGGTGAAAAACTCGGTCTTGACGAAGTCGAGGTAAGCCTTATTATACTTGATGTTATATTGGTCTAATAAGAGCCCAGATCGGTGAATATGCGAACGACTACATTGAAGTACGGCGTCACTTCATGGACTGGACGACATTTGGCAACGGTACAAGTGCACACCGATCCAGCGTCGCTGGTGATAAACACGACCATCCAACCCTCGCACAACGGGATCAACAACAAAACTTACACATTGAAGAGTCAAATCCCGATACTAATAGTGCTGACGAGAAGACCCTTGATCTCCCCCATGCCGACGCGGCCTCGGTCTCTTCTTAATTGCAGATCTATTTCGGCATCTTCTTTCGTCTGTTGTTTGGGTTGTTGTGTACACCAATCTCCTTATTCTGTTTTCTATTCCTATTTCCCTGCATAATTATTGGAGGGGCACGTTGCTAACCTTCTGTACTTCACTTAGCTATAGCGCATCCCAGAAAGAGGGCGCATCCACAAAATGGTGCATATGGTTATTTAAATATCTACTACTAGTATCCCCCAAAAAGAGGGCGTATCCACAAAATGGTATATAGTATAGTTACCTACACATCTACTAGTGTCCTCACTACATCATAATATTTATCGCTGCTGGCGCAGTCAAGATTTGAGTCTGTTAGTTCTGAGTCGATATCCATCTGGAGTGGAGAAAGGGCCTGGAAATTGATTAATCGCGCTTGTGTCCGGCTACAAATTGGTCACATTAAACCACCACTGTATTTACAACAGAAAATGCCTACTCATGTCAAATTCAGTCGATTTTATTCCAAGAACAAACAGAAGCTACGCGCCGAAAAAGGCGCACGAAAGACGATTGCAGTGTAATGATGATGTCTTCATCGAAGCACGACCGGGCTTGCGGATGAAAAGGCCTGGTGAGTCGGAGTCGTACATACCTTCCGAACAATCCGCTTATTGAAGTCCCAAATATGTACGTGTCCATGTAATCCTCGGTGGATATTTCTTCCAGTCTTTGTCCAGGCTCAGAAGTACGATCTTGGGGAAGACCATCATGATAGGCCATTTTGCCACCGCACACGATGACTCCGAGTCCGTGGCTGGTGATGCGGAAAGAAACATGTATGTTGAGGTCCCGGTCTGACCAGGATATCTCCACAGGCATCTGAGTGCAGCACGCACTGTTCCAGAGAAGATCTGTGCTGTGGAACGATAGACAGGCTAGACAGCTGCGTACTATGCAGAGGATGAACGTTTGAACGGTGGCACTTTTGAAAGAGATAGTTAATTCGGTGTTGCAGCGACGCATCAAGTTCTTGTAATGTACACAAGGTTACGAAGCCGATGGCAACAACCATCTGTCATCGATATCCTTTGTGCAATAGTAGACAAATGTACGATTGCCAGATTTTTAAAATTTCCTTGACCCTCACGCGATAATAATTAGCCACGTTCGCTGCAGGAGAATGCCCAATTACAATGTCTAGCTGCAGACGCTTAGGCTGCGACCGCAACATCCTGTAGAGGGACCAGGGTTGACATCAGAAACCGGGGTTGAGATGACAAGCTGCCTTCGGGTTCGGAAGAGTTGTGATCGTAGTTGCAGTCCCGAATGAAGAACGTTTGTCCAATCGGCAAACTAGATAGACTATTCATTCGGAAAGAGTAAAATATAACATACACCCGAAACCAAATCGCCGGATGGCTGTGGAATGAATGAATTTTTATTTGGGCGCATCATAAGATTAATCACGTGATACGATATAATCGGAGATTCCTAATGAATTTCCTATTTTGCGTTATCTTGGTGGAGTGCTGGTCATGACAACGTTCGTCATTGGTAAAAGCCGTGGACCAATCTCAGCTACTGTTACTTCCGCTTCAAACCAGTAGCCGCGGTTCTGACATATCTTGGCCCTTAAGGATCAAAGGCAATGCTCCCGCCACCGCCGTCACCGTGGGATATCGCTTCCACCTATCTATATAAGTGAGACATCGTCCTTCAACCCTTCTACATGTCTACCACATCCTCCGAGAAATCCCCAGAACAGTCGCATGAGACGGTAACCAATCGTCTCACCGAAGTCGGTGCAAAGGACCAGCGTGCCTATGAGCGCGCTAGGCACCAGACCAAGGAGCGGCGGGAGTACGCACAAGTGAAGGAGCGCAAGGAGAGAACGGTTGCTGGAGCACCAGCACCGGCCCTCAAGGAAGGGCATGCCAGCCGAGCTGCTAAGAAGGCTAGCTTGGAACTCTGGGACAGCAACGAGCTTGACTCTCGTATCCTCATTGGATCGGGGCGTCCTGTCAATGTCGCACCAGTGCCGAGGAACAAGTCTGGTTTCTCCAAGATGGCACTTGCAGATTTTGTGACGTTCAAGATCAAGAAACGGTCCAAGGCGCAAGGTACAGTGCTGCCACAGTTCGTTTGTCATAATTCTGACTCGAAGTTGTGCATAGATGCTGACTTCGAAGTCCTCCACCTGTTCGTTCAGTCATTGCTCTTGATGACTTTGGACATGACATTGAGATCAATGAGCCCTGGGAATTCATTTCTCTCGCCCCTGAATCACCCGCCTGCAAGGGCCTGTCATACGCTCAGGCTGCTGCTTTGACGCTTTAGATTATGCCATTGTGGTTGATATTTGATTAGTATCACACCACATCACACCACACCCATTATGACTTAGTTCATTCCTAATTCACTCATTACGAACTCACGCTATATCTTCGAGCTCCACGTCGTATCGTCTTGGTCCTTGTTATAATTCTACTTAATGGACTAGCTATGGTGGTTCATTTAGACTCGGGGTATCAATATAATTGATTGGTGTTGGATGCTGCCAGTGTTTCGAGGGCGCCGAAGGTTATCAGTGCTGAAAATGGTAAAGCTGAAATTGTCCCAGTATGTATGTCTCGATGGAGCTGATAAGCTTATGAAAGCTGGATACATCAACCTGCTAATAATATTAATCTGACCATGGTACAGCGTGAATACTTAGGAAAAGCCGGTGCGTATAGTTGGATTAAAGACAGGCAGAGGATGCGCCTGTCCAAATATGAGTATATGCGGAATGACAGATGCATGTTTCAGACTTGCCTCCGTGTTGAAGACATAGTCTGTGAAACAATGTGATACATGAGCTGCGTCTTGTCAATTGAACGGGGGACTCACCGTTGAGAGGAAGTACACTTGAATCCGCAAAGAGTAGATACAGATACTTTAATGTTTCGCTCTGATGAGAAAACTGAGTCAGCTACGATCATGTGGGAAGGACAGAGTCACACACCATCAAGAAAGTCTCCATTTTATCGTCATGCTCCACGGGAACTTGATCCACATTTATCACACTCGCATACCCACCTGTCGGGATACGGCAATGCTTTTCGATGGCCTGAAATATCGCCCAGCCGTAATCGCGATACTTGGGATCACCAGTGAGCCTGAAGGCAATGAAAATGGATTCGACAGTTTCCGGGCTGCAGTACAAATTGAATCCTTTATGAGTGAACGGCGGAACAGGAAAAAACATACCGGAGGATATATCGGGCATCAAAAGGAGGTGGGGCGTTAGGGCTGGTAATTCACAAGCAAGTCAATGTACAGCTCGAGTGGCAAGTGAGTCAACATACCGCGCGCCTTTGATGTACCAGTCTGCAGGAACTGCTGAATCATCCATCCCGTCGCCCAGAATGCGGAAGTGCGCAATCTCAGGCGCCAGGCCGCTGACCGCCATGTTTAGTGCACATGTAAATATTACTGAAGCACATCGAAACATACGTTTGGGTGTCATGTGTGGCCATACATGTGTCAATGAGTTCCACTCCTGTAAGCCAATCACGTTCGCCTTGGTTGGTGAGTTCGTCGGTTGACGGTGGAATCGAGACATTGTGAGTAAGGGCACCGGACGTCGTGGCACCGAGCATAAGGGAACCACCAAGGAAGCACACGAGATGATCCTGCTTGGGCGTTAAACGCCATCCACTATTGATCACATTAGGGCAATTATCATCGAAGAATGAGATATAGCCAACAGTTCCCCATTTTGAGTCCGCTCTGGGTTAAGTTCAGCGGTGTAGAGAAGCTGGCTGGAAAGCCCTCGTTTTACCAGATGTGTTTGGATACCTGTCATCGCAGTGTCATACATCTAAAACGTATGATGAATGATGTATAGACCGGACTGTCAAATGCCTATACCTCGCGATATACAAGCTCCGTTTGGTTCTAAGGGAATTATCAGACTTTCCAACATCGACCTTTCCTGTATACTACTACTATACTTACAGTTTGCAAGTATTGTTTCCTGTGACTCAAAGATGAGAGCAGCGTTAAACTTAACATTATGTCAACTCACAGTAGATATTCGTAGTAAGAATCCCCGCGAGATCCTAGTCGGATCGGCGAAGTTTGGTAGCGACCCATTTTCGAGCTGGCATGTGAGCTGTATGCTTGGCGATTTTATGAATTCAAGACCTACTCAACAAAGATGGGGACTAGCCCGCTTGTCATTGCGCTTGCCCTCAGGACGGCCATTACCTGAGACAATGTAGAATCTAGTGCATAATCTCAAGTAAAATACTCACCTTTTCAGCCTTTTCCCAATACGTATCCTCATCGGTAAGGTACGCCAGATAGCGGAACTCGAGTTGTAATGTTGAAGCTTCGGCCGTACTGATCAATCCACCAGTATCCCTATCTGGCACACCTTCTCGAAGCGCCAGATTGATTAGTGATAATGGAAGACCAGACTCTGTCTCAAAAACGGGTAGGATGCGGCTACCGAGTTCCTGAGCCTTCTCGAGAAACATGGGGTCATCCCCAGACAAATGGTATGCCGACAGTAAGCCTCCTAGGACTCTGATTGTGATCTGATGATCGAAAACACATCAAGTCGCCACTATGTTATGAAAGTATTTTCTACTCACCTCAAAGGTATTGAAATTACCATCCCGTTCGAATGAGAGCTTGTCTGCCACCCATGCCCTTGCACGCTGGTACTCATCCTCCAGCCCCATGATAATCATCGTGTCGATAGAATCTACCACAGTATACCCGATAGCCCCCGCTTCAGTTAGATTCGAGCCAGTATGCGCGATCGGATGGTACTCGTCATCACCCATGGCGTCTCTTTCTACTGAAATCAGTTGTTTAGCCCATAACTATATGGACTGCGCTATTACCGTATGCAAGCCACGCATGCTGAGGCCAGGTGTCAGTCCACGAAAGGCTGAGAGAATACATGCTTTCGTACTTTGAAGGCCTCTACCACTGCGTCTCGTTTTGCTTCGTCTGCGGTGAAGGTGGGGACATAGTGCGTTGGAACTCCTGGTAGATGTCTGGTAGGTGCACCGAGGAGCGGGCTCTTCACTAGAGCTAGAAACTAGTAATGGGTAAGTAGAATCCGCCAACTCTGAAAGCATTTATACAGACATTGTAAAGTGCCAAAGCCAACACGGCAGCTAATAACATATACACTTTAGGTAATGCTGGGCCGGACTTGGCTTCACTGCCCGTCTGCATGGTTGGTGCCAAGTCATTAGCGTATCAGCGACCGAAACAACTGTCAAGCGCGCACATCGTGACCATTTGTGAACTCGGTGGTGGCTGCTTTCTTCCTCTGTCTGACTCCTAGTTCTTCCATGACTGCAAGTGACAAAGTGAACTAAGCAAGCGTGGGCAACTGGTCAACTTCCTTTCGCACTTGCCTAGGCCCGGGGCAAACCGATATTATAGTGCTTAACGGCAACTTGACGGGCGTAGCTGGTCCGCATGCCTGGACCGCGCCTCCCGTGACGCGCCACCCGTGACACGGCTGTGACGAGAAATAACTCTATATATATCCTAATTTGTCCATCTGGACATATCATAATTACATAAATCCTTGGTTGCCCAGGCCCTCCCGCAGGTTTGAATACACTCGTCGCTACTTTTGGTCCCGCTCCTAATACTTCACGTTCGGCGCCGGTTCGGGCCGGCGACATGTTTGTAATGAAGATAAGGCCGGATCAACCATCTTTCTGCTCGACTTGACTTTGCATTCTCATATCTGATTTTGAACGCAACATGGCTATCGAACTAGCACCAATCCCCCTCCCCGTCACCGCCAGTCGTACTGATTTTGACCCCGATTTTGGTCGGGAAGTCAAGGGCGTGAAGCCTGGCGAACTAACTCCTGAGCAATTCAAGGAGATCGAGACAGCTTTGTACACTGTAGGTCTCGGATCTTGACCCGGTGCACTTGACTTATGTACTTCGCAGCATGGAATTCTGCTATTCAGAGATGTTGCACTGACACCGGAACAACAGTATGTTCTAACGAAGGTAGGCGAATTCATTGACATATCTTTCAATGCCGTTCTCAGGTTCAGATAGGCTTTTGATCCTGAGGCCGAATCATACGGACACGGTAACAACAAGACGCAGTCAACTAAGAAGTCTATCCTTCATCCAGATCTTAAGACGATTCCCCGGGTGCCCCAAGTTCAACTCATTGGCAACGGGATGGTTTACAACCATGAAGGCCTTGAATCTGCTGCTCTCAAGCACCCCTCGCATACAACCTTCCACAAGACCCGTGTCTCTCCTGAAAACGAGGCCCTGGGCATCACCAGATTCTATCGCTGGCACATAGATGCTGCGTTGTACGATTACAATCCACCTCGTGCGACTACCCTCTACGGCATCACTGTGCCTGGGGGTGATAGGCAAACTGTCAGGTACAGCGACGACGATGATCCATCCGGGGAGATCCTATCTGTGCCTCTCGGGACCACAGCTTTTGTGTCAGGAAAGAAGATGTTTCAGATCTTGCCGCCTGAGTTGAAGAGCCTTGCCGTTCGGACTTCTGTTCGGTACGCACCCCACCCTTACGTCTGGATGGCACCTGCCCGTGCGAAGTCGGACGGTCTAGGAATTGTGAACGAAGGTCTAGAATTGCCTCTGAGCGAACTTCCAGAGTGGGAGCAATCGAAAATTAAAACGCTGCCTATTGTACGTCCTACTTCCATTCCGCGGACATGAGTTTAAAAAAGCTGAGCACGCTTAGCTTTGGAAGAACCCTGTCACAGGCGAACTACACTTCCAAGTGCATCCTTGCGGTGCTCAAGAACTTATCGTGAAACCCTTACCGCTTGGCGCTTCCCGTGAGGGTGCTTTATACCCCGATGGAGAACATATCAAGGACCTTGGGAAGGTTCGCGAACTTCTGCACTCGATGCAGCGGCCCGGTATTGCCCCCGGAGTATTATTTTTGCTTTCTTTTTCTCTATGTGAACTGATACGACTGCTTAGTTGGTGTATCCACACGATTGGAAGGAACGTGATCTCGTCTTATTCCACAACCGCGGTTTGCTTCACACCGTCGTCGGTGCTTTCAAGCCCGATCAAGTTCGCGCATTCCACCAGTGTAACCTCGCCGCGTCCGATGTTCCCACTGGCCCTACAGAGCAGGATATTATTGCATGGGCTTGAAGTACGATCACATGTCTGAAACAGTCACTAATTGACCATTCGCGATCGGAAGCATATATATGCGATACTATGGAACTATACAATATCAATATCACGTTCACTTTGCCTCGATACTCGTGCATATGCATTTATCTCTTGTAATCAATGTACTCACGATGGACTACCTGGTCATCCTGTATCCAAACTATAGCGTTGTCCAAACAATTTGTACTACAACTATCCAGGTATCGCAAGAAAAAACATGACCAAGACAGGGCAGGCGATGCGAACCGTACCCGCAATTAGGGCTATAGAGACCAGATAACTAAGTGTGTGAAGCTAAGCGGATCCAGAGGGCATAGAAGAGGAAATCAAGAACTGGTTCAATCGAACGCGGACAAAAACGCGAAGACAAGTTTTAACGACAAAGAGGATAAAGGAATACGAGATCAATATTAAATCAATTTTGTAAACGCAAAGCATCAATGAGAGACAGGCGACATGAAAGACACATACAAGACAACGACCGATGAGAATGATCAACATATAAGGCAATCAACGTTATCCACGGCGACGATTCATTGGACGAGGATGCGGGAATATCAACAGTTGTCATTGGATTTAGGCTGCGCGGTTGGCGGAGAATGCGGAATTGACTTGTGGGCTTCGTCAGAACCTTCACGAGACATGGATGAAGGCGAAGGACTAGAAGATGGTCCAGGTCCTGCAGAGACAGGTGTGCTATCTAGGTGTTCATCAGCAGGTACACTGTTACCGCGTGCCATGTCTTTCCTAGGCACCAGGGGAGCGGAACTGAAAGCGTTGCGGAAGTTGTACATCGAGCGGAGGTCGCTGAGACTGTGTGTTGTCTGACGATGGTGACCCTCATCCTCAGAGACTTCTGTTTCCTCCTGTTCGTGATCTGTCTCCTCAGCCTCCTCACCCATTACAGTCCGGAGGGAGGAGACTGCGATGTTGGTATTGTTCATGAAGCCAGCGGCAGCCGGGCCGTGATAGGAAGATGTTAAAGAGGTAAGCGGAGGAAGAGAGTAGGTGCGTGGAAGAGTAAGAGGAGCGCTTCGGCTCGCTGCTCGTGAAGCAGCAAGACGTGCCGGATGGATCGGTGGGGTGGACGCAGCCGATTTAGTCTTACGTGCTGGGCGGACTGCTCTGCGGGTGCTGCTCGTCTTAGATGAAGAGGCGCGCTGAGCCGCTGCAGAGGGACTGCCGTCATCAGGAGTAGACTCTGCGGTGGTAGCCGGATGTACGGAATCGACGGATGTCTGAGAAGAATTGTCACCCTTGTGGACACGTAGATGTTGAAGCAAATTATCATTCCGGTTGAAACGTTTGTCGCACGTGGGGTGAGGGCAGTCAAATGCTGATCGTGACGGATATTATTAACAAAGTCCGGAGATGCGATGATGCAACAAAGAGGCTCACGTTTTTCATGTGTATGAATAGATCGGATGTGCCGTTTGAGATGCTCTCCACGGCTGAAGCACTTGCCGCAGTCTTCCACTTTGCAGACATAAACGCGTCCCTTACGTCCCTCAGTTGCTTCTCCTTCTACTGCGGCATCGTCGCCGGCGGTAGGGACGCGGCGACCGCGACTCTTTTTTGTCAGGTTCGGAACGGGAATAGGGGGGGCCGTGCGTATCCTCGGTCCACGACGTTCAGAAGTAAATGAGGAAGAGGAAGCGTCAAGGAAAGTATATTCCCCGGGCATTGGGGTGCCACTGGGTTCGAATGGAGGCGTGACTTCCTTTAACTGAGGGGTATCCTCAACCATTGAACCGGGAGACGATTCCGGGATCAACACGGTAGGTTCCATCTTGAGAAGCTTCGATGGCACGTAAGTTGGGTCTTGATCTGCCTCGACGTCAGTTTCGTCGTCGACTGCCCGCGCGTCGAAGGATCGTTTGAGAGAAGCACTAGATCCTCTATATGGCGTGTCTGGGGGGTCACCTCTGCCGTGCTTTCCCCAACGAACGGTTGGACGACCTGTTGTTTGGGAACGCGTTACTCTTCGAGAGTTCGGATTTGAATCGGTTGAAAGATGTAGAGAGTCCTGTAAGGGATTATAATGGAATGTAAAGAGTGGCGTTATCCTGGTAAATATTATAACGGAATATAAAGCAAAAAAAGATACTGACCAAATTATTAGGTTGATTAAGGTCTACTAGAGTGTCGTCGTCTGGTAAATGTGTTGATAGAGCTCCGGGAGATTGGTTGAATTGAGATTCAGGGCTTTCCATCGTTTTTGCGACGCCTGATGGGAGAATGAGAACAAGGGGCTTTTCGGAGACGACGACTGCTCACCTCTTCGACAAGATTTATCCAATGCTGTTAAAGACTAATTCTACGGTATAAAGCAGCGTTGAACTGTGTTTTCAAACCAACAAAATTTCCTTGCAAACGAACTCTGGCGTAGGGGATTTCGGACAGGGGTCCTTCGTTGTTTTTTTGCCAAACTACCCCGTTCACACGATCGAGCCCTATCCACGTGTTCAACCGTGACGGTCCATGGACCACTCGTATCATAGTCCAGGGCCGTCATGATCACTACGGTGCACAGCGGGCGACGCTGTTAACGTCTATACTATATCGTTCTGCGTTAACTCTGCTTTGAGTCCAGTGATCTTCATACTAATACACTGGGAGGGTACTCGGTGTTAGCTCCCACTTTTACCAGATTTACCAATATAGGCATCCTCTGCTCTGCTGCAGGTGTATCGGGACCACTACTGCTGGGCACTTGAAGCGCCTGTTGACGCCTCCACAAGATCCACTCTCTATTTCCTGCCTTGTCTCAGCAGTTGCCGAACTGAAGTAATAATTTGCCTTTACCGTCATGTGGCAGCTACCAGCTTCGTTTGGCACGCCCCTTCGTAGCTTTGGTTTCGGATAATCTTGGCCTAGATTGTGTGTTCAAGGATGTACGTATTGTGATGATAATCTTTAAGTTGTTGACGCGACTCAGTCTCAAGGCGATGTATTTATTCCCAATTTCCGCACTCGCGTCTACAACGGGCTGTCCAAGTAAACGACATCGTCGCGATACTCTCCGTTCACTTACCGGTGCTTACTTCCCTGATTCTTTAAATCGCCGTTTTCCTTGTTTTTTTACTATTAATAACGTTCTCATCCATAGCTCCACTGGCCGGATCCAACCTGAACAGCGTGTCTTGG